AAGACCAATGTGTGACCAAGTGTCATTCTACGTAGTATGCAAAGTTGAAACGTTTTGGTTGTGTGCAATTTTTGCACTTTTGGTTACACATTGGTCTCTGTCTCAGTAATGTAATAGCGCAGGAAACGCATACCAATTGTTTAAAGTTGGACACCAGGTGGTGTGCAGTCTTGCAAAGTGTTAAAAGTTCGCAGATTTGAGTAGCACAAGAATTGGTGTGAAACTTTTTACATTTGTTTAACCAGTGCAATGCTGTTTAGTATGCCTGCTCTGTAGTCGACGCACTAACGTTTGTAATTGACACGCTGCATTTGTCTTACAATGTTGACATCAATCTTCCTCTTACAAGGTGAAAGTGGTGGAGGGATGGGCGAAGACTGAGCCGAGCTACGAGGAAGTGGCCCTGCTGCGGGACGCCTACCGACAGCGGCCCAACCCCGACACCATGACCCGCCTGGCTAAGACGCTGTTGGAGTCCAAGAAGTTCTTCGAGGAAGGGAAACGGCTCCTCGACGACGCTCTCACCCTGCACCCGAAGTGTCCGGCCGTCCTCTACCAGGTAGGTGACGGTGACTTTGTATTCTCTATGATTTCAGAGCTCAGTAGATTTGAACATATCTAACTGCACTCAAATCACAGGTTTTTTTATCATTACAAGCCGCCTGTAAACATGCTCCGCTTACGAATCCAAAACCTTCCCTTTATATTGACAGGGTCAGTATTCCGGACGCTAATAAATATGTGCATTCGGCTTGCTTTCTCGGTTCGCGGAGAGGGAGGGTCTCGTTCGGTGCACTGTGAAGAATAGAATTGAGGTTTTGTAGGGAAATTTTCTTTGACGCAAGTTGTAAAGTTTTTTATAATCGTAAAAATACATGTAGTGTCGACTTTAAATGTATTGGCCGTTCGTACGAATCCAGTTCGGCGGCGCCACGGAGGCTTAGGGCGTTTCAGTTCGAAAGACATGTTTCGATGAAGTGGGGGGCCACCCCTGAATCGATTCTTTATCGGAAAAAAGTTAACACAATTTATTTAATTTTGTCAAATTCTTAAAACTGGGGAGTGCGTCGGTCCCTGGAAGTTCAGTTTTCCAGCCCGCTCTTCTGCTTTGTAAAAGCTATATAAAGCCTGCTTATGCCAGCGCCCCTGTAGTCCGCCCGACTGTCCGTCCGTCTGTCCGTTTCCGAAGTAGGACGTGAGCTAGAGGTCTGGAATTTTTAGGGTATCATTGTTGTCACTTCTGTGCACTGAAAATGCTAGAGTCAGATATCTCACCCTCCTGAGAGCGAGATATCTGACTTTATCTTAATTTGAATCATAATTTGCGATCCTCACCCAATAAGAGTGAGGTTTCCCAGTGCAACTGTACGAGGTCAGGAAAACCTTACTCCTTCAGAGCCCTTAAGTCATCGCTCTCATTGAATGAGGCAAAATTTTCTCACTCATTACGAGCACGACACCTCACTCAAAAGGTTTTCAGTAGACACTTCATATGTGAAATTTTTTGCGGCATGAAACAAGTGTTTTTTTTAGCCCGCCCTTCTGCTTTGAAAAAGCTATCCAGCGGGCTTATGCAAACGACCTCGTGTGTGTCTGTGTGTCTGTGTGTCTGTCCACGGTTGCCACAAGTCTGGAAAACCTGGAAAACTCAGGGAAATAAAAAACTGTCCGGGAAATCAGGGAAAACTCAGGGAAAATGAAAAAAAGTCAGGGAAATTTGGTCTGACTGGTCCCCAAACTGCAGTCTGTTCGCCGTTTAGGTCAAATACACATTTTGACGTCCCAGTAGGGTGTTTTGTCCCAAAAGTTTTCGCCCTTGCTTTGGTCGCGGTCTTGTATTACAGTTAGGGGTATTAGTTTGCCCCAGTACTTCACCGGGAACGGTGCTTAAAACTCAGGGAAATTCGGGGAGAAATGGTCTGGAAATCAGGGAAAACTCAGCGAAAAAGGAAATGAAAATTTTGTGGCAACCATGCTGTCTGTTCCACTAGAAGGAGATGTGCTAGAGACTTCCAATTTTCGGGGGATCTCAAGGTTCACTCCCACAAAACAAAACGCCTACCGCAAATCCTGTCAGCCACCCCTAATGGGCTGAAAGGGGGTATCGACGAAAACAGGAAAGGCCCAATAAGTTGGAAAAAGTATTTTTTTTTTATGATCTTCTAAGGGGTAACTTGCGAAAGTAGAGCCCTTTGGGCGAAAATTTCGTCCGTTTT